TGAACCATTAATTTGCAAATGCAAAATTGACACATCTCCTGGGGATCTGCGCTGTATTAGTCAAAGGTTTAAAACCAGTGTATTCCCCATGAATAATCTTTCTCCCTTTCCCCCTCCTTCTTCCTGTCCACATGTAAATGCAGAATTTCTTGTCTTTAGTTTACAGATTATGTGATCCAAAGTGTCACTCACTGGATTACTGCACATAACCTGAGCACTACCCAGAGCTTACTTGCCTTCAACTTGTGCAGCATTACTTAACTGGAATTATCCCTCACAATCCATACAGGAATCTGCACAGCTCACTTATCTCAAGATTCTGTGTGTCACCTACCAGATTATCCCTTTTAATCCATACATTGAATCTACATAACATATGTCTTTAATTCAGGGGCTCTGACGAGCTATAGTATCGCTGAATGGATTATTTCTCTTTAGCCATTATTGGCAGCCCTAAACCCCTCAGTGCCAACTCTGGTGCCCCATCCCCTGAGCACAGGGGCACGAGCAGGGTCTGCAGCAAGCACAGCTCCATCTCACATCAAACCACCTGCACTGGCACTCCCTGGCACCTGGAACACAGCTCCCCATACAGAACAGACCTCTGTGCGATGGTGAGCTGCAGAGCAGGGCTGGGAGGCGAATCCCGCTCTCCATAAATCTGAGTTTACTCCAGAACTGCCTCCAGAGGCACCCAGATTGCGGTGAGCTGCAGAGCAGGGCAGGCAGGCTGATCTCACTTTTTATAAATCTGTGCCCACTCCAGCACAGCCTCCAGAGTCACCCACATTTCCATGGGCACAATGAGGACCTGACTTTCACGCAATCCCTTTCACAGGGACTGCAGAGAACTTCACCTGAACTGTTACAAACTAGCCTGCACAATACAAAAGGTCTCTCAAACTACAACAAAAATACGTCAGGTTCAGACCGGCCCCCTCTTTCTTGAGGCACAATCTCTGTTGACAATGCCTTCAAGAGAAAAGCAGCTCAGGGAGATTGGAAACAGAAGTCTGTTCAACCTTTTGTTCCACACACCTATTCAAAATTAGCTAAGTGGGGAACATAAAAAATATGCCTCGCTGTGTCTTGCCAAGTTTCAGTAGAGAGATGGACAAGATTAGCAGCAAGGCTTTGTGCACACCAAGGGAGTTTTAAGAGGAGTTCTCATCATGGGTAAGGCTGCCTCACTCACCCCAGTGTGAGCAAGGCTGGACAACCCACAATGCACCTGAAGCCCAGCACCAGTGAAAGAGAAGCTTCATTTTAGAATTAATAAGTTAATTTTTTTATATAGGAATGATCGGTGATAATTAAGGAATAAATGTATTTTTGATACCTTTTCCTAGTGACACTGGAGGACAGCAGCTCCTCTCCCACTGCAGTGCACAGCTAACAAGGCAGTTACACTGACAGCAGAAAAGGGCATGATTTTCCTTTCTCTACACTTTGAGACCTGAAGATCTCTCTGCTCCACTGAATCCAATAAAATGCATTATCCAAGAATAACCCAGAGCCCTGCTTTTGAATGGGATGGATATAAGTAAGTTTGAACAGGCTTTAACCAAGTCAATATACAGTTTTACAGCTTCACTATAAATACTTCAATTAAACAGCACTTTTGTAGCTTTTGCTATACAACAACTTGTTTTGAGCGCAGTAAAAATTCCATAGATATCAAAACAGAATTTCTTAGGAAACCTCTAGTGTTAAAATTGTAATTTAGCCCCAGACGGTCTCTGAACGAGCACAGGTATTTGAGTTACAGTTTCTACAGACATAAAAAGTTCTAGGCTTTGTCCCTTTCTAAGAGCATTCCCTGGCAGTACCTTTGGGTCCAGCTGTGGAATAAAACAACCCATTTCCCTTTCAATTAGCAACTGGATGGATACAGACCCTTCTAAGTGTGATCCTCAATCTGCAGCTGCCTCTGCAGACACTCAGAGATGGCTCTCCTGCTTTATGGGTGTGCAGATGGAGAAAGGGGGGTTTAAACAGCAGCCAAAGGTGACAAAGCAACCAAGAGAAACAACTGAATAAGAACATGGGAGCCTGGCCACTTCCAGCCTCTCACCAATTTCCCTGTCTTTAATAAAATATCACTGCTCTCCAGCTTAAAGGAAATCACGCTAATAGAAAATAAAGTCTTCCTCTTCATCTCCCTTTCTTTAATCTCTCCCAGATAATAAAACTCAGTGGCAATAACACAGACTTGGGCATTAACAATATGTAGCCTGGTGCTGAGCCTTTTTGCACATGATGTACTAAAACTCCCCCAGACCTAATGAAAAACACAATGAAATTTTGAACAGTTAAATGGAAAAAACTGTTCAGGGTGTAAGAGCTGGGCAGCACAGCTCCTAGCGCTGTCCACGTTCCAGGGTGCATTAAACACAAGACGGTGCTTAAAAGGGGGTTTCCAAATATCACTAATAGAGAAATGAGGGGCGGAAAAAGCGCAGCTGCCGGGCCAAGCCCAGAGAAAGAAGTTAATTAAAAAATCACAACTGGAAAACTCCGTAACTACAGAACGACAAAACCATTTTGCAGCATAATATACGTGTGTTTGTACACGTGTGTGTGGGTACAGAGCAGCTCAACTTGCACACCTTTCCTGCTGCCCCACTAAATATAGCTGCAGCACAGCTGAGCCATTGTTTGTGGGCTGCTCAGGGCTGATGGTGCCATGAAAACCACATTCCTGGGCACTAAATAATCGGCCTGCCTGACCCCCCAAGAATCTGGAAGTCAAATTCATTTACCCCCAGAGGGCAATGCTCCATTGTGTCCTCCCTCCTTTCCAGCCACCTAGGAACAATGGACAATAATTGCAACTGTCACGGCAGTCAGTAGGAAAAATAAACCAGTGCCTGTTTTCACAGCTTACTGCCAAACTTGATCCAAACACCTAATAACCATGCCCCCAACCACAGAACCACAGTCACACTAAAAAGCCTCAGATGTGAGCCTTTTGAACAGAGCTGCAGAACAATAACTCGACTTGTGTTCAAAATATAAAGCTAAAAACCAAAAATTAAAGCAAAGAAAAGTCTTCTTTGAGGCTGTGCTGCTGCTCCCCATCCTTTCCCCCAGGCACGACTGAAAGGACTGCTGAATTTCTCTGGTGGTAGCATATAGCTGGCTGCTGCTGCTGCTTTCAAGTTTAGCTTGTGAAAGGGAAAAAGGGGAAGGGAGAAGAAAGTTTGCCCTCCAAAAGAAAAAGATCACAGGCAGTGGGAACAGACCACCTTCTCAGCGCACAGCACTCTTCAGAGCAGCTCCACAGCGTGCACAGGCACTGGAGAATCGCTGGGAGTCCTTCTAAAGGTTCCAGTGTGTCAAGAATTAAAGAGGCTCCCCACACTGTGCAAGACCTGCTGAAACACATGCCCAGAAGTGGGTATCAAAGATGTCTCCCCATACTCTGCCCCTGAAACATCCTAAAGATGCATCAGGTCGTGGCAAAGGGTGATTTCATCTTGAAACAAAGTGCTTTTCAAACCCAGAACTGCCAGGTAAGCCCAGGGGCTGCCCTTCCTCTTTGAGACCTGTTGCTTTACACACATGGAGCAGGAGGAATGAATAACCCAGGGTTTGGTCCTCCGGAGCCATAATAATCACCATCATCATCATCATCATCATCATCACAACGACTTCTCAGCCTGCTGGGGGCTGCAGCACTGCATTCTGTTAAAAATTTATCCCACAGATGTAATGATATAAAGTTATCCCACATATGTAATGAACATATATCTTGAATTATAGCCTGCTAGAGAGAAGCCTGGGTAAACCAGGGGAATATTTTCCTTTTTGGGTAAGACAGCGGAACAGCACAGGCTAATGCTGCTGGCTTATCAGTGACAGGCTGGGAGGCCCATAGAATCAAAATAACACTTTCTCTGCATCTGCACCAAGCCACAAACCTGTGAGAGCACCTTGTACTGTGTGCTTTACTGAATATTGCACACTTCTCATGCACAGGGCCCTTAAAGCTGCCAGCACGAGGTCTGGGAGCCTGCCTGAGTGTGCATCTCTAGAGCAGGGACAACATGAGCAAGCAAACATCCCAAAGTAATGGACAGAAACTAAGCCCTGTTTATAAACACAGGAGGAGAAGGGCCTAATTTTAATTTCGTTCTACTTTCACATTTCCAAAACAGCGTTGGCCTGGCTTTTGCTACTCCAGATGCACACTGCTATAAACAGGAGAAGAATCAGTCACTGCTTCTTTGCAGAGTGATAATGGCTGCTCTGAAAACTTGCAATTTCTGACACGTGTGTTTTGAGTGAGTTCCTCATCAGCAGCACTGCAGAGGAATTATAAAAATATTAAATTACACGGAAACAAACAACCACAGGTTCCCTAAAACGACCTCGGATATATAAAATGGGGAAATATCTTGGCAAAGCAGAAACTACTGCTGCTGGAGAGTGGTCAAATTTTGTCATTTTCCTTCTGGAGCATGGCTTTAAAAGAACATGCTCTAGTGCACAGATGTTGTACGCTGTCTTTTAAAATCTGCACTGGCTAATTTCAGTACCTAGAGGTACCATTACACAAACTTTGCTCTTTTTATTCTTCCCTACATGCAAAAAATGTAAAAAAAGAAAAAAAATTAAAAAACTCTACATCATCGAAATCTGTCCAAAAATAAACAAGGAAATCGGATCACCCTCAAATTTCAGAAACTGAGCTCTGCTATACTCTGGTACCACATATGTCTGGTACTGACTTTTTCCCCCCTATCCAGCAATAGGATGGGCTCATTTATAACAGAGAACGATATAGGCAACAAAAGCTTAATGCAAATTCATTCACTTAGGGCAATAGAGCATTTCATTGATTTATATGATCACAGATGGGAGTGCACACATTTCATTTAAACCCCGAATTACCGTGTTTGAAGGGGAGGGGAAGAGGAGCAGACAAAGTTCCACAAAGCCAGCGGTATCTGTACATTCATTCTCAATTTCCTTTAGCAGAGAAACAGCGTTGTTACCTTTTATTTCTCCAAAGTTCCCTGATCCCATGGCAAGAAGCTTGTCTTTCCAGTCCTTTGATAGTAGCTTTTCAATACTGGGAGTTTCTGAGTGAAGGGGGGGAAAAGAAACGTAAGCAAATCAACATGACTGTCTCCACAATAGAACTCATTAAAAGTCTATCTGCTAAAAATAAGGCCAACCCTATTCTGGGCCCCCAGTTCGTAATGACTTCATCAACAAACTGATAAGAGGGGAGGGAAGAGAAAAAAAAAAAAAGGGAACAAAAAAGAAAAAAACGGAATGTGTTTTGTCACCTGCTGTTTCAAAACCATTAGCTTTTTCCTCTAGTGGAACAAAGCTCCGGTAATTCTGTATTACAATGGGCACATATAAACCTGCAGTTCATTGTTTTTCAATTTGGTGAACAAGTTGCTGCCTATAATGGATGCCTGTCAGTTTCTGGGTGTTAGTCTGCAGTCAAAAAATAATTATGTTGATAAAATGCGGAGTAAAGAGAGCGAGAGAGAGAAAGAGAGAGAGAAGCAAAGAATTAGCTCCTAAATCTGCTACATGTAATTATATCCCTCTGAGTCTTTACAATTACATCCACTTTATAATGTGTGTTTAAACATCGTGTGGTGGTAAGCACACTGTGGAAAGATTTTCCGGTAACACGCGCATTATAAATAATAATAAAAAGTTGGGTATGGAAAAAAAAGCTTTAAAAGACTGCAAAATCCAGAGGGAGAAAAGGCATCGCTTAGAATGGAAACCCATTATTTGCTCATTTTAGATTCTATCACTTCCTTTAAAAATAAAATAAAATATATTTGTTCGGTATTTTCAGGAAAAATGCAGCGAGGGTGTGGATGGGTCTGATATTTATGTCTGTAACTCTTGTGTTCTGACCTCTTTTTGTGCAGAATTTTAATGCATAAGTAAATATAAATGCTAATAAAATTCAGAGAACATTAAACTCAATTCCAAACAATGTAATTGTATATTCTTGTCAGCATTTAGATGGGTACACAATTACAATAGCTTTCAATCCCACGATTAGCACTGCATTCAGTTAGAAAATGGAGTGTACTAAAAGATAAGTGTCCCAGTATGTGCCATCTAAATAACAATACCCACCCTTATTATCTGGATCTAAGACATATACCGCTATTCTCGCGCTGGTGTTTATGTGTATTTGTATTTGTTCAGGCATTTGTTTACCCCCTACCAGGAGCATAAAGGGAGCGCACGTTAACTTATCAAAGGCACCGTCTGGCCTAGAGACCGCGCCATTATTAGCGACTGGTTAACTTTCCCCGCAGTAAAAACCATGGCGAGCCACCTTCATTAGCTCCTTTGGCTAATTGCACCTCGCGTCCCCCGCCGCAGCTCGGGGCAACACCGCGCCAGGGATGCTCTCCTGCATCCCTCGATGCCCAGGGCATGCCCGTGCCAGGGATGCCTTCTGCATCTCCCATCCATCAGGCAGGCAGAGAGAGGGACGGACGGACGGACAGACTGTCTGTCCCCAGCCCCGATGCCCAGAGCATGCCCGTGCCAGGGATGCTCTCCTGCATCCCTCATCCATCAGCCCGTGCGCCCGCAGGCAGAGGGACGGACAGACAGACAGCGGGGCGGGAGAGCAGCGACAAGCTCCGGATGGATGGATGAGCGCACAGGAGGCGCTGGGTGCGCTCCGGGTCTGTTCGCCTGGCAGCGCCCCGAGCTGCTCCTGCTGTGCCCGCAGGGTTCGGGGGTTCCCCGGGCTGATCCCGGGCTGCCCCAGGGACATCTCTCCGTTAGAACCAATCCCCGATCGTGTCTCTGCTCCCCGGAGCCCGCCCCGAACGCGGCCGCCGAGCCGGGGGCGCCGCCGGGCTCCGGCCCCTGCCCAGCTCCGTCCGTCCCCTCGATGGAAACCATTCCCCACAGCGCGAATAGCTCACACACACACTGCCCCATTTCCTCGTTTCTTTCGGTAATATACATATATTTAATTATTATTGCTCCGTGCTTTTCTGCAGACTCCGGAGCGGCGTGTAAACAGGCCGGAGCAAACGCGGCGTTTGCGGCGGAGCGCCGTCAGTCAGTAAAAGCCAACAAACCTTTGCAAAGCAGGAATGCGGCAACAGGGCTCCATTGAGAGCTGACAATGGGCTCCGGAGCCGGCCGGCACCGAGAGCAGCCCGCCTCACTTTGGAGCCCATTGTCAGCCAAGTCCCGGGCAGAGCTTTCCCCGCGGCCGGACAGCACCCACCGCGCTCCGCTCGGGGAGAAGCGCAAGGCAGCTCCGAACTCGTGCTCAAAGCCTTAAAGCTGCAGGAGCCGCTCCGGAGCCGGGGCAGCCGGAGCCCCGCTGCGCTGCCCGCTGCCATCCCTGTCTGCCGGCATCCCTGCCTGCCTCAACTATAGTTTGCCAGCACTGCAGCTTGCCCGAACCTCAGTTTGCCGGCATCCGTCCTTGCCCTAACCCGTTTGCCGACATCCCTGACTGCTCTAATCCATGCCTGTCCGTACCCGTTTGTCTGAATCCCTGACTGCCCTAATCCCAGTTTGCCAGCATCCGTCCTTGCGAGAACCCCTGTCTGCCGGCATCCCTGCCTGCCAGCATCCCAGTTTCCCCGAACCCCTGTTTGCCAGCATCTCTCCCTGCCTGAATCCCAGTTTGCCTGCATTCCTGCCTGCCCGAACTCCTGTTTGCCTGAATCCCTCTGTGCCGGCATCTCTCCTTGCCCGAATCCCAGCTTGCCGGAATCCCTGCTTGCCCGAAGCCCTGTTTCCTTGCCAGAGCCCCGGTTTGCCGGCATCCCCGCCTGCCCGATGCCCCGGCTCCCGTGCCCGGCCGGTGTCCGTGTCCCTCCCCGGGGCACCCGGAGCTCTGCAGCGCTCCCGCCCCAGCCCGGCACTGCGAGCGATGCCGACACAACAAGGGGGTTGCAATAAACGCCGAGAACGGCCGTGTATCAATGACTGAGTTTCTGCGAGAACGGTGAAGATCGCAGCAGGAAACCGCGATTAGGGATGTGAAAGGCCAAATGGCAAAATCCCAATAGTAACAATGCATCTGTTCGTTAATGTGTGGATATGAGTAATATGAAAATTTAACACAATTATAAGCCCCCTCAGCAATCCTGATGGCATAAAATAGATTGTGGTGATCTAATCAGTGCTTCCCCTGTTGAAATACTGTATGTTAACTATTCAAAATAATATTATATAGATTTTTTTTCCTTTAAAAACCCCCAAGCAATCATATTAAATTGATGTCCTAACTTAGTCTCAAACCTCTCTCGATCTGAACTGCCATTTTTACATAAGACACTCCAACAAATTTTGACACAGAATCAGCAAATAATCATCCTTCTCTTAATACTTAAAAAGAAGTTTAATTCTGAAAGACAATAGCTTCCCCACCCCTACAGCTTTATGGAACCAAAGACCTAGATCAGATTACAGCTTGTTTAATTCTATTATATACCATGTTAACATCTTGTACTTACATAAAATATGCTATTCATATACTCAGCCTATCACATTTCAGTAACTGCTTGTGAAATACCTTATGCACCATGTCTTGGAAAGAAACATTTATTATGTCATTTATGTACCCCATTAAAAAAAGATTTGAAATTTACACATCTTAAATAAAAATAACTGTTTCAAAGGTTACGACAGTAGAGGTTCCACGAGTTACACAGGAACAAAGTCATCCTTTGTTCTGCTTTTTTTAGATCTGATTGGGAAGATGATGCTCTCAAACTAAGAGAATCTGTCTCTTGTCTGCAAGGCAGGCATTCTCCGGAAAGTCAGTGAAACTTTTAATGCTTGCACATATGATGTGCAGCTTGAAACAGGGAAAGGAGGCCTGCACACAGGAACTGCCATTCCTGATCCCTACTCCAACTGCTCCTCTCCTCTTAGATTCCCCAAAATTGTGTTTTCTATCTGCAAAATCTGAGCTGTATTGTGACAGATTCCGCATGTGCATCAGGACAGCTGTGTACTACAGTGTATTACAGTGCTCTGCATTTCCAAAAAGCCACACATGGTGTTCTGAGTATTCCCAACACCTCCTAATCCACCTAACCTTTGAGAAGAACCCAGAATTGCCTCTCCTAAGCCCACCTGAGCTGAGAGCCCTCCCCAGCACCCACCTGCAGTGTCCTGTGGCGCACAAAGCCACAGCACAGGATGAATTCATTCATCTGCAGGACTTGCTGACAGGCTGTTTGTGAACAGGAACTCAGTGGTGTTGGACACGTTTGTTCCAGACACACCGTGAGGAGCGTTACATGCTGCTGCAGAAGAGGATTACAGGGAGGGCACCAAGAGAAGGACTGGGATGGAAAGAAGAGGAATAATCAACTAAACACTGGCCAAGAGGCACCTGTCTGAATCAGCAGATTCAGCCTGTGCATCCATGGAACTGCCCATGCGCTACTGGAAAGCAAATCATCCCAGTAAATAACATTAAATGGCTTTTAAATCTGATTTTTGGTGTGCTAACAAGCATGTCACTGTCCCTCTACTCCTGCACTTAATGTTTAAATACAGCTTCACTGACTGACTTGCTCAGTAGCCCAAAAGTTTTCACAATGGGAAAGGAGTGGTTGGTTTCCAGGAAAGGGACAAGGCTACAGAGCCATAGTAAGAGAGAAGCACAACTTTTATCACTGCTTGACTTCTGTTGAATTTAGTCTACTTCCTGAAGTTCATGTTTTTTTGAGCATTGTGGCTCTCTTTTGGGAGAGGACCTAATCCTGCTCTCAGTTCAGTGGCGGCACAGATGCACATGTACCTGGACCTGCCTAGGAGCCTTCTAAAACCCAGTCCAAAACCCAGCAATCCCTCCAGAACTGAATAATAATTTATTAGCAAGAAGTTGTGAGCTTTAGATCTCACTCACTAAGCTGATTGGTCTCAAAGTGAAAACCTCTCACTATTGGTGAGCCACGAATAGCACACTCTGGAGAACCATAGCTATAAACAATGGGCACAGAAAGAGAGATAGTAATTGTTTTAATTCTTTTCCTCTAAGATTTTCCTGGGAGAAACTGTCTCTGTTCTTTCTTTGAACTGAGAGCACCCACAGAAGATGTCTGGC